GGCTTCAGGGTTCAGGGTTTAGGGGTTTAGGATTTAGGGGGTTAGGGCCTTTAGGGCCGTTAGGCCTGTTGGTGGAGGGTTGAGGGGTTAGGGGGTTAGGTTGAAACCCTTAATTACCCTCGCAGATCTATAACACGAAACGTTCAAATATACCCTACAAACTACATATTGTCTTTGACAAGGACTGCTTCAAGGCCAAAGTATATACAAGTTGGGAACATGGACCCTTACGGAAATGTTCAGTTACGGAATTCAGGATAATGTTCGATTAAGAAGTTCTTACCGATCTACAAAGATCGTGTTATGAGATTTTTTGATATGGGGTTTATATACCCCGTAGTCAAGGAAAACATGGCTGAACGTTTTATGGCTTGTCTACGGCTGATGATCTAAATCATGCATGACCTTAAGGAAACTAAACTATGGAAATTCTGATATATTCCTCGTTATGGGTAATGCAGGATTTATACCAGCAACAGTCGTAGCCACTCGAATTGCCGGTATTCGGCTTTTGCAAGCTTTCCGGGCTTTAAGCTTTGAAGGTTCCACGGCTTTGCGAGCGCTTTGGGGTTTCGGGTCTGAGAGTTTTGAGGGAGTTCGGACTTCGCGGCTTTAGGGCCTTACCCTAAGGGTCCAAGTACCAAATCATCATATACTCTCCCAAATATTAGCCTAACTTCTATCCGCAACCAAAGTACCTTATAATTGTGTCCTTTGAACCTTTAGGGTTCGGATTCTGCGTTTTTTGGAGGTTGGGGCTGCAGGGTTTCAGAGTTCTCGGCCTTTTCAGAAGCTAAGGAGTTTTCTGTGGTTCACGATCCAGAACCCTTCAGTTCCTCCTAAACCCTAAACCCTAAACGGGTTTATAGGGGTTTAGGGGTTTAAGGATTTAGGGTTGAGGGTTTAGGGTTTAGGGGTTTGAGGATTTAGGGTTGAGGGTTTAGGGTTTAGGGGTTTAAGGGTTTAGGGTTCAGGGTTTAGGGGTCTTGCGCAGGAAGTCATCCGAACCGGGCCTGCAAAGTTGTCCCAAGCCTCCTTCGGCGTTGTTTCGGACGTCAAGCCGGCAGCGGCATCAGCCGACCTAACAGGGCTCTCGCGGATTTATCTTTGAAGACAGAACGTCATGTAATTACTGATGCAGTCTCTGCAACATGACAAGCTCTGACCCTAAACCCTACATAGATATAAACCCTAAACCCCTAAACCCTACAATGACAAGGTCTGACTTAATTACCCAGAGACTCCAATATCCCTCAATTGAGAAATATACCTTAAATCATATCAAGGATCCTACCATAATTTAAAGTATATCCCTTAATTAAGGGATATTGGAGTCTCTGGGTACAGAAGCGGAATGCAGGCCCTCCTGAATCCGCTTGGCTTAGAAGCTCGGGAAGGGTTGGGGGTTCAGGTTCCGGTTGTGGCTTTAGCACTGAGAGCACAGGGTCAAAGTTTGGAAACTGTTACACTGTAGGGTTCCGGAATTACGTATAAGTTGCATCATAGCGGGATAAAATCTAGTTGTAGTAAAGAGTCAGATTACCTTATCACTCCTACCTGAGATTCAGTTTCTTAGAGGCTTAGGGTTTGGGTGTTTAGGGTCTGGGGTTTACGCGTTTAGGGTTTAGCGGGTTTTGATCGATCGATATCCAAACCTTGAAGTGGTAGGGGAACCATCACGCCCTGGTCAATCTTCAAGCGCCGCAGCCGTAGCTGCAAACACTTCGAATCAAGTCCGGAAGACAACGCAACCTCAACTGTCAAGAGTGGTAATGCTTTCAATCCGGCCGTCCCTAAGCCCTACCTGAACCCTACATAACCTACCTTTGCTGTGTTCCCTATGATTTTTCTTTAGATAGGCCCTTAGGCTTGTTTGACGTTGACGCAACACTTCAAGCATGGCTGAAAGCCGAGATGCATGAGGTTGGAAGTGAGAGATCGAGTGGGCAGAGTTTCATGCTTGGCCCCCAGCAGATCTCCAAAATCCTCGGATGTTGTTGTTAACCAGAATCTGCTGATGTAACCAGGTGCAGGGTTTAGGGCATCCTATGTGCAGTTAATGTTACTCAGTCGGTGGTGCAAGATTAGGAGGTCTCTCGGCAGTAGTTCCCAAAAGCTTGGTAAATCGAGCTTGCTACTCTCTGGAATTACTTTAGAATGTTGGTCGACGTGTTTGTGCGTGGACTTTTGTCTCCCCTTGGTCTGAATACCTTTAGGACGAAATGAACCCTAAAAGGGTTTCAGGTTCATATAGAATATAGGGATTCATAGCATCAGGGTATAGGGCCCCTTACTTATAAGGGTCATTTGGTCTCCAAGGTACGTAAACATCTGGAATAGGCGGCCTCGCACCATGGCACTCAGGGAATGGAGCTGAGGCTTGATCAATGTCTCGGCTCCGACTTCTCGCCTTAAAAGGGCCTTAATTTATGATTAGAATAGGCGATAGGGTTTGGGGGTATCTTCTACTATATGTTTATAATACGGAAGCCCCAAAACCCTGTTCTAATTATTAAGGCACATTACGACTCCTCGGGGCTCCTACACTCATCTCCTCCATCTCCTCCCGGATTTGCTGGACAAGCCCCCCCTTGAGGCAACTGTAGGAAAGAAGGTCGAAAAGCTGCATTGAGCAAGCCAGAGTTCCCTTTAGGTTTTAGGGTTTAGGGTTTAGTTCCCTTTAGGTTTCCCTAAGGGTCCAAAGGACCCAATAATAAGGTACTTTGGTTGCGGATAGTAGTTCTTTCGGTTAATATTTGGGAGAGTATATGATTATTAGGCACTTGGACCCTTAGGGTTTGGGTTTGGGAAGCTAGACTAGACTGACTAGACGTCATTAAATGCGGCACAAGTGTCGTGCGGAACTGCGATGTCCTGACACACAGGCATGCAAACCCGTTTGCCCCCTACGCCACCAGCCGCCACCAGCATTCGCTAGGACCCCAATCCCTTATAGCATCAATGACCAAATGACTCTGAAAAGTAGGGACGGTCTTTCTAATTGCTTCTGGGGACCAGGCTTTGAGCTCTACAAGATGTAGGACATTGCAGCTGGGTCCTCACCCCCCACAAGCCCCAAAGCACCCGAATCGCGCTCATGCACGCTCTGGACAAGCAGTTGCGGCAAAGCCTTTAAAGTCCATGATGCTGAGACGGTGCCTGCAGCTGCCTCTACGTCACTGTGCCACGGCTGCAGACGACTGCTACGAGGGTCCATGTACCAATACTATGCAGTAGGAAACTCTGGCCCTGATGTGCCTATAGGAACCCCTTCATCATATTATAGTTACCATATAGATGCAAGGATCTGTACGGTACTACTGCTAGGCTCTTATCCTCCTGCCGGACTCTTCGTGGCAAGGTACTGACGAAGCCGTGAAGCCCAACCAGCCGGTCGTTTCCAAGATCTCAATCTGTAGGGCTGAGGGTTTAGGGTTTAGGGTATTTTTGCAAACCGCAGGCGTTTTGCAAAACAGATGTCTGTCTACATCAACGTTGGGAAGAGCACAAGTCTGACGACCATTCTCTCATTCAGCATCTCGGGCACAACTTCAGGAATATTCATTGTTGTCTCAACCGTTGTCGTCCGATGATGAAAAACCGGCACTCTAAGATACCCCTCAAATTTTTGAACCCTAAAACCCACAACTAATAGAAAGCCTGGTGACTCGAAACTCCAAACCCTGAGGCCCTAACTCCAAATCCTGGAAAGCCCAAGCACTAAAGCCTAATCCTAAAGCATACACCCGTATCACTTCTCGACTAAAAAACCTTTATCGATCCCTTACTGGAACCCCTATAGAACCCTTATGGGGAACCCTACAGTACCTAAAGATTCCTCAAAGGCACCCTTATAGAACCCCTAAAAGAGCCCTTGAAGGAATCCCTTAAGAACTTATTGGGAACCCAATGATTTACCTTACAACCGTTAACCCAAGTAGAGCAATCCTCTCAGGATTGCGATGAGGTTCTTTTATAAGGTTCGTGTATGAGTTCGTTGAAAACGGGGAACACGAAGACTGACCCTAAAACCCTTCACCCCTATAGAGCCCTTAAAGGAAACCCTAAACCTTAAACCCTACTACGGTTGGTGATATAAATCCTGCATTGCCCATAATCAGGAATATACCATAATTCCCATAGTTTAGGGTCCTTAAAGTAATGCAGGACTTATATCATCAACTTGACCACCCTAAACCCTAAATCCTAAACTCTAGACTCTAAACCCCAAACCCTATCCTCTAAACGCTACTACCACCCTAAACCTGAACCCAAAGGTTCCTGTTTCCCTAAACCCTCGACCCCAAACCCTACCTGAACCCCAAATAACCTACCTGTTTAAGGACCTGTATAAAGAAATCATAAGAAGGAGCCCCAAAAACCCTAAACCCTAAACGTCTTACCGGGCTTAGGTAAACCATAAGCCCCCAATCCAGCCTCGGGCCAGGCTGGCAGTCGCAGAAGGGCGCAATGCAGCAAAAGCCGCGTCGACGGCATCTTCGCGCCTTAAGGGGCCATCAGGCTCTACGGGTTTAGGGCTCTAGGGGTTTAGGCTCTAGGGGCTTCGGGTTCAGGGCTTAAGGCTTAGGGTTTAGGGCCGTTTAGGGTACCTAGGATCTACCTGGACCCCGAAGAACCTATCTTTTTAGGGTTCCTTCTTATGACTTTCTTATATAAGTCCTAAAAAAGGTGGGTTGCTTGGGGCTAAAGCACGCGTTCAGGGTTCTAGAGGTGAGGGTTTAGGGCCCAAAGGGCCTAAGAATGAGGAAGCTGGGTTTAGTTTCTCTTGACTCCTTCAACTGAAATCAAGTACAATGCTTGGCTATGCACATGTAAGCCAATCTTCCGGAGAGTACATGGTTATAGGCACTCGGACCCTTAGGGAAACGGATCGGGGCTTCGAGTTTAAGGTTTAGGCTTTAGGGTTCGGGCCCTGGAGTTCGGTATAGAATCAGACCATTTTTGAACGGACGGTGAAGGGTTTGGGGTTTGGGGCTGAGGGTTTCGGGTTTAGGATTTTAGCGCTTAAGGTTTGTTTTAAAGGACTGTGAAGGGATACGATACCCATAACAGCAAGATGGCTTGGGAATTAGGAGTGCAGGGTTTTTTATAATGCAATAGCGCCGCCTCTGCGCGGACTATAGCAAGAGCGCATGAAAGGTGAACGATGAATTTGGGGGTTTCGGGTTTGGCATTTACTTCATAATCACCCTGCTACCCAGCCCGGTTGCCATCGCTGCTCTCGTACAGTTACTATGCTAGGTCAATGTGGAGATACTCTTACTAACCCTAGACACGACGCTTCCAACATGTAAGCTTCGCATTAGGAATTTTATGCCATCGATCCACCCCAAACTCTAAATTATGTAAGCCCTGAACGTGTTTAGGGTTTGCCGTACCCCCCGCCCCCCAAGAACCTACCTTTTCGGGTTCCTTATTATGATTTCCTTATATACGTCCTTAAAAAGGTACGTCATTCCGGGTCCAAGTAAACCCTACACTCAAAACTTGTTAATATAGGGGTCTTGATACGTACCTAAACTATTTCGGGGGATCCTTATTATAAATGGTACTATAACATACCCCAAAACCCTATTCTAATCATTAAGGCCCCTACACCCTTAACCCTTATACTAGCCCTTATAGAACCCTTTAAGGAACCCCTTTAAAGGAAGCCCAAAATCCTATTCTAATCATTCAGGCACCTATACCCTAAACCCTTCTAGTAGCCCTTATAGAACCCTTGAAGGAAGCCCTTTAAAGGAACCCCCCAAAATCCTATTCTAATGTAGCCCTTATAGAACCCTTGAAGGAAGCCTTTAAAGGAACCCCCCAAAACTTATTCTACTAATCAAGGCTCCTATACCCTAAACCCTTCTAGTAGCCGTTATAGAACCCTTGAAGGAACCCCTTCAAAGGAACCCCCCAAAACCCCATTCTAATCATCAAGGCCCTACACCCCTGTAAGGAGCCCCTTCAAAGGAATCCCCCAAAACCCTATTCTACTAGTCAAGGCTCCTACAGTAGCAGAAGCTTTCCGCCCCGAGCAGCTGAAGCGAAAATCAAGGCGTCGGTCTGCATCGTGGAGCCTGGAGGAGTTTCGGACTTCAGGGTTTAGGTTTATAGGGTTTTAGGGTTTCGGGTTTAGGTTTATAGGGTTTGAGGGTTTCGGGTTTAGGTTTATAGGGTTTTAGGGTTTTAGGGTTTCGGGTTTAGGGTTTAGGGTTTTAGGATTGAGGGTTTAGGGTTTTAGGATTGAGGGTTTAGGGCTTTAGGGTTGAGGGTTTAGGGTTTTAGGGTTTTAGGGTTTAGGGTTGGTTTAGGGTTTTGCCCAGACTTATGGAATTTGAGTTTTGGGGTTTTGGAGTTTACAGCTCAGAGTCTTGAACTAAGCTTAACTCTCGGTTCTGGTTCTCGGGTACTTCCTGATGGCGAAAGAATCCTTGCACGAAACTTGTGAACTCCGGGCTTACTTGTCCCGACAAGTCGCTCCCAATCCTGAATTAGATCAAACTCTGAACCCCAAGACCTCAAGCCTAAACTTTCAACTATGCTCTGATTACATCCCAAACCTTATAAGCCTCAGAACCTGCACTTACACCGTTACAATCGAAGTGAGAGAGCTTGAGTAAGGGTGGGGTTCAGCGATTCGCGACGTGTTGAAGTGAATTTGGAGCTAAGGCCCCGCGCATCAAACAAATACGAACAGGTACCCATTTACTTGCTTCCCAATGCTCTACCTAGCGCAAAACTAGAGTATGAGCTTTGGACTCAAGGTAGGATCCTTACAAAGGGCACGTAACTTGAGTTTACAATCGTTGCACTTCAAATCTGGATTCCGACGGCTAGCCTATACTATGCTATGAAACCCTCAACTGTGGAAATCCTGAAAGAAGCCCTTACGGGAACCCTGTTCGCTAAATCGGAATGAAGCGACACATAAGACAGCCAAGCGCTTACACAACACAACTCCAGGATTTATAGGG